TGCAAAATCCCCATTCCCTCCCCACCCCACTAACCTGCTTTCCAGCTCCGTTCTCCTGTGCAGGGCAACCAAAGGAGACCCAGCCAATCAATTGGGATTTGGGAGGCGGAGAATAGAGGGGGCGGGGCCAGTCAGAAGTGGTATTTGCCGGTTCTACGAACTACTCAAAATCTCCGCTACTGGTTCTCCAGAACTGGTCAGAACTGGCTGAATACCACCTCTGCCCAGAAGGTCACCTTTTGTGACCTTCTGACAAAGCAAATGCAGTGATTCGCTTAACAGCTGGCAAAGAAGGCCAAAAAAAAAAAGGGAAAACACCCTTAAGAAATTTTAGCCTCGGTTGTGGTCGTAAATTGGGGACTATCTGGACAGCTTACAAAATGCAACAACACCAAAACAACACAGAACGTTTTATGCAAAGCAGAGTCTGGAGAACATCCATGAAATAACTTAAAGGTCTCAGGCTGCTACCTGGAGCCTCCTTCTGCCGTACCCTTCAAGGAGAAGATCTTAAATAAGAAAACTTTCCATGGAGAAACACATTCACGACTTACCTAGCACATTCTTCCAGCGTCTGGTTGAGCGTCTGTTGAAAGTTGCAGATCTCCTCCACATTGCCAAGTAGAGAGGCAATGTCCGTAGTGCTCAGCCTAGAAATAAACATATCATAGAAAGATAGATACCCCTCCATGGGGAAAGGAATCTTGGCTTAAGAAACCTTGTGGAAGGTTGAATGTCTACAGAGATTCTCAGTCATCCAGGTCATGGTTGTCCCAAAGGTGCTTTTTCAAGAGGCAACTGGACTTTCTGGTTATACTTTGAAGACCTTTCGCTTCTCATCCAGGAAGCTTCTTCAGCTCTGAGAGAAGATGAACAAGTTTCTGAGGGAAGCTGAGGAAGCTTCTTGGATAAGAAGTGAAATGTCTTCAAAGAAAAAACAGAAAGTCCAGTTGCATCTTGAAAAAGCACCTTTGGGTCACGTTGAAGGTTGAATATGGTCTTCATCCCATTGTAATGACCACACTTATGTTCTCATCACAAACAATCTATTCCTTAGTTGTCCCAACTACTATTATGCCCTTGAGTGTGGCTCTTTCCTTAGAGAAGCAAAGCAAAAGACCAACCCCATCAATTAAAAAAGCATCCAAAACTGCCAGTATCCAAAGACTGGACTGTAGAGTTAGAAGTCATCAATGATGATTTGAGAAGTTGCATCTGTCCTCCTTCCCCATCAGTGGAGATCATCTCAAACAATCTTACTTACTTGTCATATGACTGGAGAGACTTCAAGTACGTTCCTAGAAGGGACTGTAGCTCCTTGGCATACTCTCGCTCCGTTTCCAAAATATTTTGAAGTACCTGAAGCAGGTGAAGATAAGCAGGAGATATAAAGGATGTTGGGAACAATCCAAATACATCTAGCCTATGAATGATGGCATCCGTAAACACACTGTAGTTTTATCAACATGGCTAGGCTCACAAGTATGAAATTCTTCTCGTCACGTGTCTACAGACATGGTGCCAAAAATAAAGCCTCCCTCGAGTCAGCTCAGCTGCTGGTGACTTCATATAAATATCCGTACAGTTTCTTGGCAACAGTTAGAAGTAGTTTATTATCTCATGCTTTCAAGATATAGTTTTCAACAACTCTCAGTTTTGCCGTCTTGCCTCTCCTATTCAAGCATGGACCATACCCAACTTTGGTTGGGCTTAGCTCTTTGAACAAAAAGTTGAGTTGAGATCAACTTTTGCTGTTTATGTTGTTTTCTGGGCAACCATATTGTTGCTTTCCAGGATATTTATGGACAGGAGAAATATTAAAATGTTGGTGGTTGGAAAATACTGATAAAGAGTGAGTCTCCAGGCCTCATGTTTGATAGCTCTGAGGGCTTTCTGTGTTCCAGGTTTAATCACTGGAATCAGTCAGAGAAATACAGATTTCCCCATAACCCTGTCCTTCAAGAAGGTTATCTACCCCAGAAGAATGCCATTGCAATTCTCTTTTCCTTTGGAAGAAAATTTGAAAGCTACTTATCTCTTCTACCAAAGCAAATTAGACCTAGCCAAAAACAAACAAAAAAAGGCAGGAAAATTATTTGGCCTATCATGATTACAAATGGCAGAAGAGTTGACTTTTCTTCTCCCCCCCGGACAAAAAAGACCAAAAAATCTCGAATGTTAAGATCGCAAGAGGGAATTTTTCTTGAGAACATTTTTTTTTCCTCCTTGCTAATAATAAGTCCTTTCCTAAAAACACCCTGCAGGAAGGCATTCAACCTCTGACATCACTGCTGGCACAAACATCCACATGCCAGGGATCTAACTTCAAAGAAGGAAGTCCTGGGGATAAAACAGGAATCTCTTCTCCATTTTCTATCGAAAGTGGACTATCTACCCTCCCAATGGGATTCAACCAGTGGTGGTATTCAGCTGGTTCACACCGGTTCACAAGAACCGGTAGCAAGGATTTGGTGTGATTTGGTAGTAAGTTCTAGCTGGTCACGCCCCCAACCTGGTCACCCGGTCGCCATTGACTCGCTTGTTCCGCCCACCCCCTGCCCGCCTGACGCTCGCCTCTTAAGGTATTTATTTATTTTTTCCCCCTTCCGACAATCAGCTGTTCATACGATCAGCTGGGCTGGGATTCCCCTAGCTTGTCTTACTGCTTTGCCCAGGAGAATTCCCTGAGACCCCAGGAAGGCAAAACATGGAGGGAGGGGCACCGTTCTCCCTCTCTATTTTTTGTCTTCCTGAGCCCCAGGGGAGCCTTCTGGGAGCAAAAAGCTCCCCCCAGAAGCTCCCCTGAGGCCCAGAAGCCCCCCCCCAAAAGCCAAGCCCACCCGGTCACATGGCAACACCCACCAAGCCATGCCCACCTAGCCACGCCCGCAAAACCAGTAGTAAAAAGTTTTGAATCCCACCACTGGAATCAACCCTAGAAGAGACCCTTCTTGGAAAGGCCAATGCGTGTCCATGTTCTGGCTCTCAACTGCAACATGGCTTCAATAAACTAAAAAGCTTTTTTGTTTAGTTTATTGAAGTCATGTTGCAGGAGACTCAGCTATGATGGTGAAAAAAGGTAGCTTCTTCCTTAGCTTAGAAAACTGAAATGGAGAAGAGATGCCTACCGTGTTTCTCATATAATAAGGCCGGGTCTTTTTTTTTTTTTTTTTTGAGCCCCGAAAAAATGGCTAGGCTGTCTTTTCGGGGGTGACTTAATTCCCTCCCCCCTTGCATCTTTGGACGGGCGGGCAGCAATGGCTTGGATGTTGACCTTGGCATTGGTGGGGCACTTTGTATCGGGGTCAACGCAGGCAGCAGCATATCCAGGTGTGCTTCCTAACGGCAAGCCCCCTCCCACCATTTCCCCCCCATTTCGCATGTTTTAATATAGGCCTTAATTTGGGGGGAGGGGCTTAATTTCATTTCATGCCTATAAAACATGCTGGGACTTCCTATTGGGGGAGGCCGTATTGTTGGAGAAACAGGGTAGTATCCAGACAATTAGTATAACCATATCTTATAGTTCCATTGCTCAACATGTGTTTAGCTTAAGCGTGGCTTGATTTTTTATGACCTTGTGTGATGTTGCAGTTTTTCTTTAATAGGATAGATTTACGGGCATCTTTCCGGAGAATAAAATTCAGGAATAGTAGAGACTCCACAGGCTTACCACAGCATAGTAATTTTTGGTGAGTTGAGGGCCTTCACCCGCTTTCAAAGCCTTAGGAGAGAGCAGTTTATCTGGAGGAGAAACAGGAGGAAGGGTTATAGAGAAGTGATGTTTCCGGAAGAGGAAGTAGAAGGCACAACACAAGCCAACATCCTACAGGTGTGAAACGGTAGAGGTGGAGCCTCCGAACAGGGGAAGAGAAAGAAGATAGGAAAGAGAAAGAAAGAAGAAAGAAAAGGAGGAGAAAGAAAAGGAGGAGGAGAAAGAAGAGGAGGAGAAGGAAAATAAGAAAATAAGAAGGAGAAAGAAAAAAATGAAAGAGAAGGGGAAAGAAAAGGAGAAGATAGGAAAGAGAAAGAAAAGGAGAAAGAAAAGGAAGAGAAAGAAAAGGAGGAGGAGAAAGAAGAGGAGGAGGAGAAGGAAGAGGAGAAGATAGGAAAGAGACAGAAAGGGGGAAAGAAGAGGACGAGGAGAAGGAAAATGAGAAGATAGGAAGGAGAGAAAGAAAAAGAGAAAGAAAAGGAGGAAGAGGAGGAGGAGGAGAAACAAAAGGAGAAGGAGTAAGGGGAGGAGGCTAAAGTGGAAGAGGAGAAGGTTTTTCTTCACAAACGCAGGAAGAATCTAGAGCGCATAAAGCTACCTATGGAAACCACACTAAGTTAGGAGCATAAGCAACCCCATATAGGCTGCTCTGCACTTCAACGGACCTCACCCATCTCTCTGGGCATGCAAACCCAAAATATGCTAGCAGATGCCATCACAACCACCACACTGCCCAGGCATGTCAGCCTCCACAAGGGCAGGGCCGATCCCAGCAGATGTCTCTTACCGGTGGATTTAATTTCCCGGACGTAGTTGCTGGGGAACCAGCCGGTCTTCCCATTCAGAGTCCCTTCCCACCAGCCCCCTTCCTCAGTGCGGGTGACGTAAATGATGTCCCCCTTGTTGATGGTCAGCTCATCTTCGTTGGTCTGCTTGAACTGGAAACGGGCCTTGACCACAAGTTGGTGGCTGCCGTTCTCGGTCATCTCCTAAGGACAGAGCAAACGAGATCAGGAGGAGGGTTGGTCCCGGAAGAGAAAGACGAAAGGAGGAGGCTGGGAAGAAGCGAGAAAGGGAATCAAACTTCATGAATTCATGTTTAGTAAAAGAAGGACCAGGGGTGACATATGATAACAGTCTTCCGGTATCTGAGGGGCTGCCCCAAAGAAGAGGCAGTCAAGCTATTCCACAAAGCACCTGAAGGCAGGACAAGAAGCAACGGATGGAAACTCCTCAAGGAGAGAAGCAACTTAGAACTAAGGAGAAATGTATCCAGTTTAATTTTTTTTTAAAAGGACCAGGGGTGACGTGACAGCAGCCTTCCAATATCTCAGGGGCTGCCCCAAAGAAGAGGCAGTCAAGCTATTCTCCAAAGCAAATGAAGGCAGGACAAAAAGCAATGGGTGGAAACTGAACAAGGAGAGAAGCAACTCAGAATTAAGGAGGAATTTCCTCACAGTGAGAACAATTAACCAATGGAACAACTTGCCTCCAGAAGTTGTAAATGCTCCAACACTGGAAGTTTTTAAGAAGGGACTGGACACCATTTGTCTGAAGTGGTGTAGGGTTTCCTGCCCAAGCAGGCGGTTGGACTAGAAGACCTCCAAGGTCCCTTCCAACTCTGTCTGAATAGAAAGTATGAAATAGGAAGAAGCAGAAGAGAGATGCTTTGGTTGGCTAACCGAGGTCAGGAAGGGCTGAAGCTATGAAGCTGACAGCTTGTTCCAAAAAAAAAAAGAGAGACGGGTTTGAACGAGGAAATTCCTGCTTCACCGTTCAACTGTACAACTATTCTGCTGCACCAGGTTAACACCAGGCCTTGGACTCCCCGCCTACTATTTCCTGTGCCGATCCAACACATTTTTAGGATGGCGTATTGTTCTTGACTTGGCCTGCCGTGTCAGGGCCAGCCTCTAAGAAGGGATAGGCCAGGAGAAGAGGGATAAATAAACAACTAGGGAATCAACCAAACCAGCTCAAACCTAGACGATCATGAATTTCAATGAAAACAACACTGCATTAATTAAATCCAACCCCTAAGCTCTCTCTTTTTTTCGTATGTCCTCACCTTCTGAGATGGACAGAATGGACACCTTGAGAAGGCCACACACCCAAGGGTGGTGAAGGAAGGTTACAAATGGGTTGTTCCTGCTCTGGGTAGGAATCGCGCTGAAACGTACCCCAACTCTTGACTGTCTCTGCAACACTCTCGATGGCCGAGTGGAGGCTGCTTGGGTCAGGGGCTGGCAGTCACCGGGGGCCGGAGAAAGCGGCTGAGAACATGGCTTCCTGGTAGAACTTCCTGGATCTGTTAAAAAGGAGAAGAGGTCAAAAACGGAAGGAAATAACCCTTGCTGGGCTGAGGCTAGAAAAAGAGCTACAAGGGGTCAAATGGAAGCCTACATCTTTTTTGCAACCCAACTAAAAGCTCCTTGAGGAATGTTTCTCAACTTTAACCATTTTAAGAAGGGTGGACGTCCAACTCCCAGAATTCCCCAGGCAGTAGATCACAGTTTCTTGTTAAACGGGGCTAGATTCAGTGCTGGGATTCAAAGAAATTTATTACTGGTTCTGTGGGTGTGGTTTGGTGGGTGTGGCATGGCATGGCATAGCAGGTGTGGTGTGGCTTGGTGGGCGTGGCAGGGGAAGGATACTGTAAAACCTCCACTCTCTCCCCACTCCTGGGAGAAGGATACTGCAAACTCCCCCTTCCCTCCCCACCCCACTAACCTGCTTTGCAGCTCTGCTCTCCTGTGCAGGGCAACCAAAGAAGACCCAGCCGATCAGCTGGGACTCGGGAGGTGGAGAATAGACAGGGACAGAGCCAATCAGAGGTGGCATTTGCTGGTTCTCCGAACTACTCAAAATTTCTACTACTGGTTTTCCAGAACTGGCCAGAACTGTCATGCCCCTGGTGGAGACTGACTCTGAGGGAGAGGAAGAACAGCCGACAAGGAGTGGAAGTGTGGCTCCAGAGGTTGTGGAGGAGGCTGGGGAAGGGCACAGACTGGCTGGGCAGTCAGAGGAGGACCCCGGCATCCTGGGGCATGCAGGGAGGAAAGGATAAGGGAGAGACATGGTCTACTGGGGAGAAGAGGGCCTTGATCCTCTTCATGGGCTGCAGCTGTGACAACTGGATAAGAGGACGGACATGCGTACGGGCAAGTGCTGGAAACAAAGCATGGAAATATTTCAAGTGTATTGTTCCTCTCTGAATTTGGTGTCCTTCCCAGTGTGTGTTCGGATATCTGTGGACGTCTTCAAGCCCTTATCTTGCCTGGCTTGTGTTGTTTTTTACTCTTTATAATTTAAACGGCATTTCCTCCTTCTTGTAACTGCTTGTGTGGGAGTTTTTTGTCTCCAGTCAAGGATATTTGGAGCTTGGAAGCAAAGTGAAGGAATAAAAGGGGCTTCACCTGTTTTTTGTGACTGTGTACATTTTGTATCCCACCCTGGGTCATCACAAGAACCTGCTGAATACAACCTCTGGCTAGATTCCTGGGCCACAATCTCCCACCAGGGTCTTCCTAAAGGGGGAATGATATTCAGAACTGGGTATCATGGCCCTATCAGATCCTGGTTCGGAGGAGGATGAGGATGAGTTGGAACTAGGACCATCCAATGGGGCTGGCACGTCTCCCTTGGCATGTTTAGACAGTCCAGGGCTGAGGACGATACTGTCCCAGGACCTTCGGACAATTGGGGGGAGGTGGTGGACCGGACAGAGAGCTGCCTGCCCTCACAAACACAGGAGAGGATTGGCTGCAGACCTGCAGGGGTGTTGAGAGGGCAGCAGATCCCCTCTGATGAGGAACAGCTGCCTCCCCCACTGATCCGAGGAATCGGAGAGTAGACAAGAGGCAAGGAGGTCTGCAAGGCTGCTTGGGAGAAAGCCGCCCCGCCTCTCCTCACAAGGAACACGTGGCGTGGGTTGACTTAAGCAGAAGCTGAGGAAATTGTCCTGGTTGGGAACAATTGTGTCAGAGTATATTCATGAACTGGAACGGAGCTGAGGAACAAGGTCAGCCCATGAGAGCTGAATTGGGGGCTGAAACTTAAAAGAGAGAATCTGGGCGTGGCTTATCTCTGTTCTGTGCTCAGCTCTAAAGTGGAAGAGAAACTAACTTGCCTAAAAACTGAAACTGATAATTGCTTTGAGCTGCTGCTGCTGCTGCTTGTGTTTTTGCTCTTGTTAATACTGAAAGAATCTACCAATGGTATTATGAACTTTACTCGTGTTACTACGTTCATAAAGAAGTTAATGATCCCGCTCAATCAAGCATCTCTGTGTTTTCTGGATTTGAATTTCTGCTGCAAACTCTAACGACTTGTTTGCTTTGGCACACACTCCCTCAGCTTTGGAAAAACTCAGCCTTGGCTCGTGTTTCTGCCTTATGGACCTTGAATCTGGACCTTGCCCCGTGAGCTCGGATCTTCTCTTTGAACTTCCTCTCTGCCTTTGCGGATTTGCTTTGGTTTTGTGGCTTCCTGGCTTTTGTTTGTGGGGCTGGGGGTGTGCAGCCCTTCAGGGGAGCGTGTGGTGGAGCCTTGCAGCCTCTGCCGGCCTCTGCCTAGAGATGACCTGGGTCACAACATTGGGACTTTAAAAAAAAGCCTTTCCCTACCCAGCCTTCGGAAGAAAAAAGTGTGTTGCTAAGGAGAACAGCTTTCAGCATCATATGGCAGGCCGTTTTAGAAGGAGGGAAGTGTGGGTGGTTTATAAGTGTGGCATCCATGCGTCGTCCTCTCCGTCAACCAGCTGGTGTCACAGATTGCGTGAGTTGGAGAGGTATCTAGTCCAGCCCTGTTCCGGGCAGGAATTCACTAAAGCAGCATTTCTTAATTTTAACCATTTTAAGATGGGTGGGCCATCCAACCATCCATCCTATCTGTGTCTCCCTCCCTCCCTCCCTCCCTCCCTCCCTCCCTTCTACCCGTCCTTGTTATATGTCTGTCCATCGATCCATCAATTAATTCATCCATGTTATCTGTCTATCTACCTATATGTCTATTTACCTACCTGCTGTACCTACCTACACACCCTCCCAGCCATCCATTCATCCACCCATCCATCCATGCTGTGTCTCCCTCCCTTCCATCCATGTTATATGTCTGTCCATCCATCTAGCCATCAATTCATTCATCGATGTTATCTATCTGTCTGTCTATCTACCTATAAGACTGTCTATTTACCTATCTACTTACATACCTACCTACCTATCCATCCATCCATCCATTGAACCATCCATCCATCCATAAAATACTATATGTCTGTCTGTCTCCCTTCCACCCATCCATGTTATATGTCTGTCCATCCATCTAGCCATCCATCCATCATCCATCCATCCATGTTATCTATCATCTATCTATCTATCTATCTATCTATCTATCTATCTATCTATCTATATCATATATGTCTGTCCATCTGTCTGTCCAACTCTTCATCCATCCATCCAATAAATGGACATCAGGACACAATGGCCAAGAAATAAGTCAGCAGCTAAGGAAGAGACCCATTCAGCACAATCTGTTTCTGTTTTCAGGTGTCAAATTATACTCTTCAACATTTTTCATTCAGCGTCACAGATGTTCTTGCCACCCCCACAGATATAAATATATAAACCTCCACTGGTGGGGCAGGATGGGACCCTCTGGAAGGTTTGCCACCTGTTTCACGCCAAGCAGGGCAACATAAAATCTATTCAGATACGCTCAGGAAGCCTCAATCCTTTTCTATATTCTTCAGCTTGCTCTAAATCTTGTTAAAATCTAGCATCTGTTCAGCAGGATTCCACTGTTTGCATCTCCTAAAGCTTTTAGCTTTAAATAAAGATTTCATTGTGCATTACCAGCCCGACCATATCATGTTAAGCAGATCCTTGCCAAATCCTCCAAGAATGATTTAAATAGTAGAGAAAACAGTAAAGGAACTACAGTACTGACATGTGGATTTTATTCTACTGCAGTCCAATGTTAAGAAAGAAAGAAAGAAAGAAAGAAAGAAAGAAAGAAAGAAAGAAAGAAAGAAAGAAAGAAAGAAAGAAAGAAAGAAAGAAAGAAAGAAAGAAAGAAGAGATTTATTTTGAGGAAGGAAGGAAGGAAGGAAGGAGATTCATTTTGAAGAAAGAAGGAAGGAAGGAAGAAGATTCATTTTGAGGAAGGAAGGAAAAAAGGAGGGAGAGAGATTCATTTTGAGGAAGGAAGGAAGGAAAAGATAGACATGAAACAAAGGAGGGAAAGAAAAAAGAAACATTAATTTTGATGAAGGAAAGAAGGAAGGAAGGAAAGAAGGAAGGAAGGAGAAAGAAAATAAAATAATAAATAGGTTATGGGAAAAGAACAAAACTGGAACATACTTTCATCTTTGAAAAGGAATAAGCACCAGTTTCTATAGGAACAGCCAAATTTTTCTTCTATTGTTCTTCTGCAAATAGATGGGGCTGGGTGTTTGTGTGTGTGTGTAGATGCCCCACATTGTCAAGATAAAGTCTCTTTCAAGAGGCTAGCTTGAGTCATGAGTCCTCTGTGGACACGTCCTTGGCTTTTATTTAACAACAACAGGGAAAGTTTGCTGCTGCCTTCTCTCCATGTTCCCCCTGCCTCCCAGAGCTGGCCTACAGCCCCGAAATATTGCGGTCGCTTGTAAACCCGGCTTAGCTTTTTAAAACTAGCCACGGTTGGCTTTAGTGAGCTGCCCGTCTAGAGAAATATCTCTGGAGTTCAGAACAAAGCTGGGAAATGAAGGCAAGAGACGTTTGCAGGAAAATATTGTGAGATTCCCTTTTTTTTTTCTGCCTTACCTTCCGTTGCTTTGTTGAGAGACAAAAGGGCAGTCAGTACCTTGGAGAAGTTTTCTCCTGAGTAGAGATCGTGGGCATCAAACAGCTGGGAAAAAGATGAAAAAAGAAGAAGAAATGTCATGCCAATCTTTGCAGCCTTAAGAATAGAACAGAATAGA